CTCCAAATCCCCAAATCTCCAAATCCCCAAATCTCCAAATCCCCAAATCTCCAAATCCCCAAATCTTCAAATCCCCAAACTCCCTAAACCCCAAAGTTCCAAAGTCCCAAAATATCAATTCTACCATCCCAGAATCTACACATTCCTAAATCCCAACACTACTAAATTCCAAACTTCCAAATTCCCACTTCATCACTTACAAAAATTCCTCCCCTAAAATTCCCACCCTAAAAATTCCAGAATTCCAATTTCCAATGTTTGCAACTCACAATAGAAACACATTCTTCACTCCTCCGTCCCAAATCACGAAACACGTAATCAAGATTCGGCTCCACAATTAACCTCATCACACCAACCCTCCGCTACCTTCGTCATCGTTCCCTAAATAACAACGGAACTGCGAGTTCGTTAAAGAAATTATGACAATTGAGTAAGAATCCTTTAACGGGGACCCGATGACATTTAACGTAATGTGACATGCTGATCCCCGAGAAGGTAGTCTCTCTCCGGGTGATGTACAACGTGTTGTTGTTGTCCCCATACGTTTCTCCGTACACGTACGCGCACACACGTGCCTCGGTAGCCGTTAAACGAGGATCCATGTAACCCCTCTTAAGGTCTCCGTGTCTCTGTGTCCTCTTTCGTCGTGTTGTATTCTCTTCGTCGCTCGTTGTGTCGTGTCCCATGTGCGTCCTCTTCAGGAACACACGACGGAGGCTGTTCGCGTTGCCTTCAGGGAGTATATATACGACGAGCGCTCCGAGGCTTGATAAACACTTGCCCATCAGCGATTACTGTTGCACCATGTACACGTCACTGGTAAGAACAATTAAAAAAAAGAACACGAAAGGAAGTAAACGAGGGTAAACAACGATCGATTTTCGGCTAGAACGGATCATCCGTCGAGTGTATACTTGCGATTTCTTGTGCGTGGATTCACGGCCGGGGATTAGTGTGATACGTTCATTGTGATTCTTCTTTCTTCTTTTCGGCTTTCACGGGGTTCGGAAATTTATTACGGCTCCGTTTGGAATCGGTGCAACCATCAGGTGAGTAGGGTGAATGCGGACAGATTTTGGAGCTGATTTTGGTTAGTTTCGTTTGGTTGATATTACAGATTTGGAAATTTTTTGACATTATCTGGTTAATTGCTGTAATATAAATTTGCTGAAATTTGTAGTATTTTTAGGGTTAGTATAGTTAGGGTAAAAGGGACACGAGTGGTATTATTTAATGTCCAACGTATTTTTATTCTGTACTAATAATTTTGATTTGGGAATTTTTTGACATTAACTGCTGATTGACTGCTGTAATATAAATTTGTTGAAACCTGTAGTATTTTTTGCAAGTAGAGCTAAAAGAACAAGAGTGGTGATTATATTATTTGCTTATTGTCCAACATATTTTTGTTCTATTATAATATTTTATATTCTTATATTTTTATATATTATTTTGAACGTCTTATACTTCCGAATATTATTTTATACTTTTGAAATTTTTAACAAGTTTAGTTTAAGCCCTCTTTGGATTATGACATTACTACTACAAAAGATTCAAGTGTTTTGCTATATTGCATATTAATAAGTTTTGATCATACTGTTATTTGAGCAGGAAAAATGATATTTAAATAAATTGAGTCTTATTTCTTTGAAAATTAAACACAGGTAGTCCCACAATTGTTCTTTCTTTAAGATAGGTAAAAAAATAAGAAATTCTGAGTTTATAATTAATAACACTTTATTTGTGAATAGTTTATAATTTTTCTTTATGAAAATATCTAATAGATAACAAATAAATTTTGCATTTGAATAATATAAATTTTCCATACGTTATATAATCTGAATGATATAAAAATGTTAATCAGCAGTAACTTTTTTGAATTCGAAAATTATTGAAATTAAGTTTTTTTTAAATTAAAATAAATGATATTAATATAGGTTGAATTAAACGATAAATATTAATATTATTCGAATGTTGTTATTTGCTCAGTAAATATATTAATAAAATTGTAGTATCTTGAAAACTTTAAAAATAACAATAAGGACTGTGTTAAAAATGACTGTATTATCATTGTTTATCATTCTTATCTTGAATTTATCATTCATATCTTGAAAACTTTAAAAATAATAATAAGGACTGTGTTAAAAATTACAGTATTATCAATATTTATCATTCTAATATCTAATTCATCAAATCAAAATTATCAAATATAGTAAAAATCACTGCTTATAGTTAATTTTTGATTTTCATTTAATAAGTCACAAATGACACAAAATTGCTTTAACCAAAAATGAAATTCAGCTATTCGAAGAATTATTACTATATTATTGCATTGCTATACTACTTTTTAATTATTACTGTATTATTGCATTGCTATACTACTGCATTAAAAATTACCGATACTGTTAATAGTTTTCTATTCTCATTGAACTATATTTGAACGCTGATATACGGAAAAAAGATTCAACTTATTGAAAAATTGTTGTATTACTACTCTAAATCATTACTATTTCAATGACAACTGTACTAAATTATTACTATTTCAATAGCTATTATTACTATACTAAACTGTCACTACTTCAATTATTACCATTGTTAAAATTCACCACTGCAGTACATTCAAAATTATCAATACTTTCAATTACTTTCCAATTTCCATTTTCCCAAACACAAAATCGTTTTTAACCAAAAACGAACCTTAATTACGAAAGTACCACATTATGCTATTACATTCAAAAAGTATCAAATCAGTCACAAAATTATAGACTTCCACTTATTATACAAAATATGATATCGCAATATTTTGTCTGATCAAATACGAGTAACTGTCACTCCACCATTCGTGTCTGACCCAAAACGGTAACACTACTGCGACCTCGTAACCGCTGTTCCTTTTCAAACTACACCACAGTGGAATCACAAAATCGATTTCAGTAGCAATTAATCCGACACTGCATTTAAATCTTATCCCACAGTCACGTAATTACTCGAGGTAATTTACAAACGTTTAAACGCAACAACGTAAATATCGAACGAGGAAGTAAACACAGGCGAGAACGAGTCAACGACGGTACATTCATCTTGATGTTTTTACCAGGAAATTGTACGGTGTGTTTGGTTTACTGCTCAGACATAACGAGACATAAAGATTTAAGCAAACAAGTGAAACCACTTGCATCGGATATTCGTGATCGATTAAACGTTTATGTAACATTCAGTCGTTTCTTCGGTTTAGAAGTAAACCGCGAATTACTTTAAAATGTATCGAACATTTATGGGGGAATTTAATTAAATTTAAGCAAAAAATGTCGTTTCAAAACAATAGAAACCGCATTCACCCTGCTGGAAAGTGTGGCGAAGGAACTGTTTATGGTTTAGTGGACGCCATTTTGTGTTTTTGAAGAAAGAATGACTTTTTAGGATACTTCATTTTGTGTTCTTAAAAAAAGAAATCATGTATTCAGAACTCATTAAAACATTGTACATATAACCACAATTAAGCATTATATAGCTAAAGTCTTTGACCGTTATATGGCACAAAATCTTGAGCTATTATACAATATTATGTATGACTACAATATTGACACAATATTATGTGAACATATTATTGATACAATATTATATGCCAATATTATTAATACAATATTATGTGATTATAATTTTAATTTATTACATAACTACAATACTAACCTCTTATATGGCCACAAGACTGAACTATTTGTAACCATGATATTGACTCATTATATGACTACAATATTAAACTATTTACAACCATAATATTGAATCATTATATGGTCACAATACTGAACTATCAGACAACCATAATACTAAACTGTTACACCACTATATTACTGACCCATTGCTTGACTATAATACCAACTCGTTATATAATGCAAAATTCTAAACCATTATATGACTGCAACATTAACAATATTACAAAATCTTTTAGCATTATGTGATCACAAGACTAATGCATTATATGACCCAAAATCTGAACTATTATTACAATAGTGACCCAGTGTATGACCGCACTAGTGACCTATTACATAACCACCATACTGATCCACTATATGACGACAATACTGAACTATTGTTTGACTGCTATAGTGACCCAGTGTATGACTACACTATTGACGTATTATATAACCACCATACTGATCCGCTATATGACCACAATACTGAACTATTGTTTGACTGCAGTAGTGACCCAGTGTATGACCACACTATTGACCTATTATATAACCACCATACTGATCTACTATATGACTACCAATACTGAACTATTGTTTGACTGCAATAGTGACCCAGTGTATGACTACACTAGTGACCTATTGTATAACCACCATACTGATCTACTATATGACTATAGCACTGAACCATTACTTGACTGCAATAGTGATCTAGTGTACGACCACACTACTGAACTATTATAACCACCATACTGATCTACTATATGACTATAGCACTGAACCATTAATTGACTGCAATAGTGATCCAGTGTACGACCACACTACTGAACTATTATAACCACCATGCTGATCCATTATATGATCACAATACTGAACTATTACTGGACTGCAACAGTGATCCACTGTATGACCACACTACTGACCTACTATTACTGATCCATTATATGACAATACAGTACCATTGACTGCAACTTGATTGCAATAATAACCCACGTTTGACCACACTACTAAACTATTATATAACTACCATACCGATTCATTATATGCCCACAATACTATACCATTACAAAACAGCCTGTTGTATAACCACAATATTGAACTATTGCACAACTGTCTAATGCACATATTGTCCATTGTCCACAATGCTAAACTATTAACAGTGTTAAACTACTATACAACCACTGACCCATTATGACTACAATATTTAATGTCTCAATATCCGCCACTAAATATCTCAAAATCTTGAGCCACTATCCCATTCGAGTCCACTATCCCATTCGAGTCCAATAATCCATTGCATTTAATCCACAGGTAGCCGTGATCGCATTAGCGAGCTGCGTATCAGCAGCGCCCGCAGACGACGTGATCCCAATCGTCAGTCAAAGCCAAGAAGGACCCAACCCAGACGGTTCCTACAAATGGAGCTACGAATCAGGAAACGGGATCAAGGCCCAGGAAGAGGGACACTTGGAGAACGCTGGCTCGGAGAACGAAGCCATGAACGCCCAGGGTGCGTTCAGTTATCCCAGCGACGATGGTCAACAGATCTCGTTGACGTACGTGGCGAACGCTGACGGTTTCCAACCCCAGGGTGCTCACTTACCGACCACACCCGAGATCCCGCCTCTCATCCAGAAAGCGTTGGAGTGGATAGCGGCGCATCCTAGTAAAGACGACCAAAATCAGGTCTAAAGGTTAGGACGTCCGTCGTCAGTGATCTCAGCGAGCCTCTTTGAAACCTTGTTCTATCAAGATGTGTCGTCGTCTCTCCCTTCTACAACTTCAACGATACGTGTAACTGCTCTGGTTCAATCTGTTGTAAATATTTATTGCATACTTCCATGGATAGTGCGGTGTCGGGCACGCTGGTATTCCCTGGGGAAAAATACTCCTTCTCGCTGATACTCTAGGTTTGACAGGTTATGATGGATTTGGGTGAAAATTTTGATGGGACTTGTCGTTAATGTCTATTAGCTAATTTACAAATTGAAGTGATTACATTGTAGTTTGAGGATTTAGGTTAACTTGGTGCCCTATTATTAAGAACATTAATTTCAATACTCAAATTCAATATTAAAATTGCTTGATTTTTTTTAGAATTACTAGTTAATTACGAATTATAATTATGTAGATTTAGTTCCGTGAGATAGTTGTTACTGGGTTTCAAGAACATAGTAATTTATAATAATGGCTGATAACAGCTATAAAACTTGCAATGAATTAGTACAAGGTCTCTCGTTTAATCCAGACATTTTGGTAATCTAATTTAGAGATAGTAACTTTCTCAAACATCTAAGTATTTTTGAATTCGTAGAATTGAGACAATCTTTTACACTGCCTTTCTCATTGGGAATTTATTAACATTTGTCTCATGCAATCTAAACTAAATCAAACACAGATGTAATTATCTGGGAATATTTGAAAATTGAAAAAAGAAGCCCTTCTCAGATTGTTTTTTCCCTAGGGACAATTACTAGTGATGTTGAATACTTAACTTAACACAGACCTGCAGGTGTAATGCCTAGTAACTTCTGAGTCTTCAGACGAGACCATCTCCCATATTACATTTTCCCTAGGGAAGATTATATTATCAAATACTCATTACTTGTAACCTAATCTAGATCTAAGCTAGGTATGCCTAGTAATTTTTTAGTACTGAGGCGAATTGAGTCTTCTATCTCTCATATCACATTTACCTAGGGAATTTTATGAATATTAACTGAATTCAATACTCAATAATTTAGCCCAGACCTAATCCAGACATAGTATCCAATTACTGTCGAGTATTGAGACAAGTTGTAAGACCTTTTGATATATCGCATTTTTCCCTAGGGAAGACTAGCGTGCTCGGCAGTGTACACTACCGGCCAAAAGCGTGAAACTATACGTTGTATTTTGAAAAATATTACTAGAATATCGGAAGTGATTTTTTATGAATTTTCCATATGTTATCTTGGAATTTTTTTTATACAAGCAGATGAATCTGCTAAATCGGTATTCATAAAAATCACCCTTTAATATTTGTATTATAAAATATAACTTTGAACATAGTGATTGCATACTTCTGATTGGTGGTGTGTATATGTATATGTATACGTTTGTATCGATATATCGTATTATATATATATAAATATATAAATATTTTATACTGTGTAAGTAATCGTTACCGTGTATATGTTACGGTGAATAAATGTTGCAATCCAGGAGACCGATTGATTTTATTTTTCTGACAAAACTCATTCACGAGTCCTTTTATTCTTTATTGACAATTATTAACGATTTTACAACAATTTAATTTTAGGAACTCAATCAAAAACTAACCCTAAAAATCGAAATGGGGGTGCCACATTTTTTATTCATAATACATGTTACATGTTGAAATGCTTAGTAACTATTTTATTTTTGAACACACCTCGATACCTAATTTATTTTTAAACGCAACTTAACATCTTTTATTTTTAAATACACCTTAGTACCTAATTTATTTTTAATAAATGAATCATTCTTGCATAATTCTATTTGCTTTAATTTACGAGCAGAATTTCACAGTATTACAAGCAGAATAATTTTAGTTTGATCGACAGGTTGCTGCTGAATCGTGAAAACAAACTAATCGAACTGTCGTGGCGAACTTTAATCGTAACTTTATGTCAAAGCCCTATTTATTCTTTGGTCCAGAATTTGTCCAGTTTGAGTTAAACTGTTGGCTGGATCAAATATAAACACAGATTGGATTAAGTCGAGTTTACAGTCGCTTTAGGAAATGGTAGGTCATGGTAGGTCAGCTACAAATGCGGTAACTGCAGAGTTTGGTTGCAAATGCACGTGAACTTTAACTTGCCTTCTGTCCTCTGTTGACGCTTCCGTTTTAATCATTTATACGGTCTGATTCGTTTCTTTGTTAAACGATTTTGTTAATTTTTAAGTAAAACATACAATAACATACCAAAGTAGCACATACGTACAATTTTAAATAATCATACTTATAAAGCATCTTTATATAATTATAACTGAAATGAAGTACTGAAATTTAAACGGCAGTTTATGAATAAATGACTGCGTATATCGCGTAGAAGATCAAAGTCGGATATAAAAAATAAAGGAAGGAACTTAATGCTCATATTCATATGCTGTACATGTGAGTCAGAGATTGTTGACATTAAATAAACATAACCTTAAAATGAATTCGTAGAATGTGAAAGTTAAGACATTAAATTATTGTTAAAAGGCTATATTAAATACTGTGAAAAGAATTAAAGTGAAATATAAAAAATGGAGAAATTACATATGATGGAACATGATGTATTCATGAAGCATTCATATGCTACACATGTAAGTCAGAGGATATTGACATTAAACAAACATAACCTTAAAATGAATTCGTAGAATGTGAAAGTTAAGACTAAATTATTGTTAAAAGACTATTAAACACTGTGAAAAGAATTTAAGTGGAATATGAAAAATGGAGAAATTACATATGATGGAACATGAAGTTTACATGAAGCATTCATATGCTGCACATGTGAATCAGAGGTTGTTGACATTAAATAAACATAACCTTAAAATGAATTCACAGAATGTGAAAGTTAAAACACTAAATTACTGTTAAAATACTGTATTAAACACTGTAAAGAGAATTGAACATGAAAGTGGAAAATAAAAATATTATCGAAATATTTCAGGACACACAAGATACATTTATGAATTATCAATAATTTAGGGGTTGTTGACCTCAGAAAAACATAACATAAAAATTAATGCACAGGACTCACGATTTTAAAGGGGAATTTGTAGATAAATATATATGAGAGATATTATTAAAAGGATTGAAGATAAAAATGAAAGATAAAAAAATTGTAATTAAATATGTAAGAAGACATGTAATGGTTGCATAAAGTATCGGTAAATATTGATTTGCAAAAGTCGTAACTTTAAAACTAATGTACGGAATGCAAAAGTTCAAACAGAAATGTGCAGATGAAACTCTATATTAAATACTGAGGAAAATATTAAGGACACAAGTGAAAGATAAAGAAGTTATGATGAAATATGTCAAGAGTCACGAGTAGCACTCGTGAAGCATCAACAAACTGTACGGTGTCAAGTTTAAAAAATGATAACTTCAAAAGTAATTCATAAAATGCAAAAATTCGAATGCAAGCTTATAAATTAATTCCTATATTAAATACTGTGAGAAGCATTGAACTTGAAAGTAGGAAATAAAGAAGTTATAATGAAACAACACATTACATGTGAAGAAACATGTAACGTATGCACAAAGTGTCCATAAAGAATAAAAAATCATTACGTTCAGAAAATCATAACTTAAAACAAAATTTGTCAAATATGAAAGTTAAAGAGTTAAATTGTAGTTAGAAGTCTGTATTAAACACTGCAAAAATAATTTTCAACGAAAATAGAAAAGTAGAGTAGTTATAATAAAATACATGATCAACACATTAAATTCTACTTTACTTTAAGTAGATAAATTTGTCCAACTTTCCCAAAAAAATTACCAACTTTATTTTCAATATTTCTTCCACGACAACAGCTCCATAATTATGGCACATCGGTTGATAAATAAATTAAAAATAAAAAAAGTTTTCGACAGCCAAATGTTTTCAGTAAAGCAGTAAACTTGATCGTTTTCAGCAACCCTCTTTCAGAGTAAAAATTTCATTCACACCCTGAAACAGAGTTACTCCACCCAAGTTACTTGATCCATTCTCACTGAATCTGTGCTCTTTAAGAGTCGCGTTGATTTACGATAGAAAGTTTCAGCGCGACGTAGAACAACGTTTTAAGCACGTGCTAGCAGTAGACTTAGCCTGTCACCGTTAATCAATCACAATGCAGTGGACACAAAGGATCGTGCCAGGATAATTTATTCAAACACGAATGTCATATGGACATTGCGAATTTTCTTCGCTTGTTTACACACTTTTCTGCGATTTACTTAAGCAAATTTAATACTGCAAATCGTTAAATAGAAAAGTGGTAAACATACATTATATGTACTTGTAGATATGGGACTACATCGAGTGGCAATATAAGTAGAGGTCCTTTCGTACGTGCATTGATTCGAAAATTTGTTCATTTTTAAATATGTAAGTTTGTAGGTTCCAAGTTTTAAATTTAGAGATTTGGAGATTTGGAGGTTTGGAGGTTTGGAGATTTAGAGATTCGGAGATTTGGAGATTTGAAGATTTAAGGATTTAGAGATTTGAAGATTTGGAGATTTGGAGATTTCGAGATTTCGAGATTTGGAGGTTTGGAGGTTTGGAGGTTTGGAGATTTGGAGATTTGGACATTTGGATATTCAGAGATCTGCAAATCTGAAGATTAGTAAATGTGTAAATTTGTAGATCGAAAGGTTTGTAGATTTATAGATTTATATATTGTACTTTCTGCATTATGTATTTATATATTTGTACATTTCTAAATTTGCAAATCTGAAGATTAGTGGATTGATAGATTGGTAGATTAGTAGATTGATAGATTGGTAGATTGGTAGATTGGTAAATTGGTAGAGTGGCAGATTTGCAGAGTGGTAGATTTGCAGATTGGTAGATTGGTAGATTGATAGATTGATAGATTGATAGATTGATAGATTGATAGATTGATAGATTGATAGATTGATAGATCGATAGATTGATAAATTGATAAATTGATAAATTGATAAATTGATAAATTGATAAATTGATAAATTGATAAATTGATAAATTGATAAATTGATAAATTGATAAATTGATAAATTGATAAATTGATAAATTGATAAATTGATAAATTGATAAATTGCTAAATTGCTAAATTGATAAATTGATAAATTGATAAATTGATAAATTGATAAATTGATAAATTGGTAAATTGTTGAATTGATAAATTGATGAAATGATAAATTGATAAATTGATAAATTGATAAATTGATAAATTGATAAATTAATAAATTGGTAAATTGGTAAATTGATAAATTGATGAAATGATAAATTGATGGATTAATAAACTCAAAATGCGTATTCCAATAAATCTTTAACGATCACATCTACGAAAAGTAATAAAGTTACACCATCTCTCCTAACAGTATTACGACCCACAATATCAGCCTGTAATTTGTGAAGAAATTTGAAAAATTTCATCTTGCGCCACTTTCCCCCGTCTCATCGATAAAAGTCGTCGAAATTTCATGACACACACTGTTTATTTTCATCGTTTCACCTCCGTGTTTGTATTTTTCCAGTCCTTTACTCGAGACCACGATAAAATCCACAGGCCGCCACAGAAGACCCCGGTGGCACTCGAGCAAAACTCTATTCCCGTAATATTCCTCTCGTGTTCCTGTTTATTTTCAGCGGCGCGGGAAATGCAAACAGTTTAGAGAAATAATTCGTAAATATGCGTAACAAGAGGCGCGTGCGACCGTTATTTACACTCGCAGATGGTTTCTCCGGGTGCACCAAGACGCGTGTAACCCAAACGAACGAGGACAACGTCGTCGACAGCGATGCAGCTGCTACCAACAGCCAACTTTCTTACCCTGACACTTATGCAATATTTCTCTGTCTCCTTCGCCGCAAATGGTAACCTTCGACCTCTACTTTCGTGCCATAGCATTGCACCTGTCGCGTGCTATTTCGGCTACGAGCGACTCTAAATCGACGTCATTCATTTTTGCTAACGAACAATCCATTTTTAGCAAAGAAGTAAACGCAAGAGAGTGGAAACACTTTTGGGGTTGAATGTTGGATAATTTAGGAATTTTTGAGGGGTGATAGTTTATTGGTTCTTACATTTAGAACTGCGGTTACGAAAATGGGTCAATTTCTGAATTTGCAAATTTGTGCTTTTGTATATTTGAACGTGTGCGATACGATTAATTCATTCATTTCTAAATCTGAATCTCAAAATGTTTAAGTTCAAAAATTTGGAAAATTAACTATATCATCAGGTAATATTCCAAATAAAAGAATTTGATACATAAAAAAATAATATCTGTTGTAGTACACGAAACTTTCTTTATATCGCCGCACTTTATGTTACTGACTAACATATCTCCATTACTATATATTTCAGTGTTAACTGTTGTATCTTCACGTGTTATATGACCGTACCTTCTATCGCCACGATATACAATATCTTCAATGATCACTGGTTGTGTTCTTACATGTTATATTGCCATAGGTTAATAACACAATTCATTACCTTACGTTAATATTATTATACGTTATATCGCCTCACATTACTATTACTATGCATGAGATATGTCACTAATAATATTACGCAGTATATCGCCATGCGTAGAATTCACTACGCGTTGTATCGCCGCATATTAATATTACTACTTGTGAGTTTACCATGCGTTATATCGCCACGCGTTAATATTGATATAGATAGAATTCGTCGCGCGTTAAATCGCCACGTATTAATATTAGTACTTGTGAAATTTACCATGAGTTATATTGCCACGTGTTAACATTGATATGAGTGGAATTCGCCACGCGTTAAATTGCCACGCGTGAATTTTACTACACGTTGCATCGCCACGCATGGAATTTGCCACACATTAATATTGCTACGGGTGGAATACGCTACGCGTTATATCGCCACATATTAATATTGCAACTTGTGAAGCTTACCATGCGTTATATCGCCACGTGTTAATATTGATATGAGTGGAATTCGCCACGCGTTAAATCGCCACGCGTGAATATTATTACACGTTGCATCGCTACGCATGGAATTTGCCATGCGTTAACATTGCTACGGGTGGAATACGCTACGCGTTATATCGCCACATATTAACATTGCGACTTGTGAAGCTTACTATGCGTTATATCGCCACGCGTTAATATTGATATGAGTGGAATTCGCCACACGTTAAATCGCAACCCATCAATATTATTACACGTTGCATCGCTACGCATGGAATTTGCCATGCGTTAACATTGCTACGGGTGGAATACGCTACGCGTTATATCGCCACATATTAACATTGCTACTCGTGAAACTTACTATGCGTTATATTGCCACGTGTTAACATTGATATAAGTGGAATTCGTCACGCGTTAAATCCATCCATCAGTATTATAACACGTTGCATCGCCATGCATGAAATTTGCAACGCATTGACATTACTACGGGTGGAATACGCTACGCTTTATATCGCCATACGATATATCACAACACGTTATATCTATATCCACGTATTGTATCATGACGCGTTTCGTAGCATAACCCATGCAATATTGCCACCATATGCTTCGCGTCGTATCAGCGTTCACCATCCCTCGCGTTATATTGCCACCCATAATACCACCACCCCATATCCACGCATTGATGATAATGACATTACAATTCAAAAACTACAAGGTTCAATTTTTTACTATCTTTATTTCTTACACCTTCAAACGTCTCCAACCTCAGACTCCGCGTCAACAATATTTTTGTCGAGGTAAAAACAAAACGTTTCACAGGACTACAATCTATTCTTTCCTTCATTGCTTGGATTTTTGGCTATCCAGTCTAATGCTCGTTGGATGAGAACAGGTATTGGCTGGGTCGGTGGTGGTGTCGGTAAATGGGCACCTTGAAAAGTGGCACCATTTTCGTTAGCCAGCCAATCTAGGTTAAGTTTCGTGCCATCCGGAGCTGTCCAAGACGCTGAACCTCGAACTTCTTCGGCTTCCGCATCTTTTTGACCGGGATTCTTGAGGAAACCTTCCTCTTTGAAAGCGATACCATTTGCACTTTCCCATTTTGTTGAAAAACTACCGTCTGGACTGATGTCTTGACTTTGACTGATGATGGCGATCGGTTTATCAGCGGCTAGCACCATAATTAACAGGTTCAAGAGGAATATTATATGGTGGTACATGGTTTTGTACTGAAAATTGATCCCTGAAAAAGATACATGCTAATTACTGTTAATATAGAACGGAAATAAGTTGGTTAACATTGTGTTAAAGTTAGGTCTGGGTTAAAATTACATTTAAGTTAGAGTTGATGTTAAAGTTAGGTTAGGTCTGGGTTAAAATTACATTTAAGTTAGAGTTGATGTTAAAATTAGGTTAGGTCTGGGTTAAAATTACATTTAAGTTAGAGTTGATGTTTATTCTTGATAAACGTGTAAAATGAAAAATTGATGAGCGTTTAATTAATTTCAAACTTGTGTTACTTTTGGGTTAGATTAGGTGTGGTTTAGAATTACATTTAAGTTAGACGTTAAATCCTGATATATAGTTAAGTGGAAGATCGATGAGTGATTTATTAATTTGAAACTTATATTAAATTTGAATTAGGTTTACATGTGTATTAGGTTAGATATGGATCAATGTTACATTTAGGTTAGATCACATCTGGATCTAGATCACATTTAAATTAGGTTAGGTCTACGTTAAAATAATAAGTTAAAGTTAGTGTAAGTTCAATTTATATTTAGATTAGTTTGGATGTTAAGTGTTAGAAAATACACATGTTGGATGTTAACTGTTATCAAATACATACGTGAAAGAAATAATTGAAAAGTACGCGATATTATTCATATTTTATGTTAGATTTGTTTTCAATATACATATAAATAGGTTAGTTATAAATTATTAACAGACACTGATGTTAAATTGTAATTTATTGAATTAGTCTCTTATATGAGATTGAATATCGCGTTACATTTAGCTCACGTTAGGTTAGATCTGTATTTAGTATACACACAGGTTAGGTTAGGTATGGTTTAAATTTACATTTAGGTTAAATTCGATAAATTGATAATTAATAATAAACATAGAAAAGTTAAAGCACAATTGAAACGTCAAATCAATCAGTTTAATTTAGATGTCGTGTGAAGTTTAGGTTACGTTTTGTACTCGCATAATTTAGGTTACGTTTGGTACACACATAGTTTAGATTAGTACATATAAGTTTAAACTTAGGTTAGGTTAAGTTACCAGTTAATATTATTAAACACAAAAGAATGTTGAAACGTGATTAATTTAATTTAAATATCGTGTTTCATTTGGGTTAAGTTACGTTAAGTCTGCGTTAAGTCACACATAGGTTAAATTGGATACAGATTAAGTACACACATAAGCTAAGTTAGATACGAATTAAATATGCACTTAGAATAGATTGAATGAACTATTGATTGTTGAAGGGCATATATCAAAAGAAGATTAAAACGTGATCAGTTTAATTTGAATATCATGTTACGTCTAAGTTACGTCAGGTTAGGTCCACCTTGTAGGTTAAATTACATACTGGTTAAGTACACACATAGATTAAGTTAGATACAAATTAAGTATACACTTAGATTGAATTAGCTATTGATCATTGATAAGCATAGTTCAAAAGAAGATTGAACCGTGACCAATTTAATTTGAATGTTATGATACGTCCAAGTTATGTCAGGTTAGGTAGCGTTAGTGATTAAATTAGATTAAGTACACACATAGATCAAGTTAGATACAAATTAAGTATACACTTAGATTGAATTAGCTATTGATCATTGATAAACCTAGTCCAAAAGAAGATTGAACCGTGACCAATTTAATTTGAATGTCACGTTACGTCTAGGTTACGTCAGGTTAGGTCTGCGTTACACTACCTCGATTGACGATTTTCTTGATATCACGTACAAAACCGTACTGACTATCGCGTCTCTGTCCCGTACACCTTTTATAGTTTGAAGTACTAGTCGCTATCACCGACATTTTGCGTTCAAATGTCACTCGATGATACCGGTTCGGTGCGACCGGTATCACGTATTAAAGGAAACCTTTCCGGCTGCATCTCGGGACGAACAACCTGCAATCAGTCCGCGCCTATATTGTCAATTAACCGTTATGTACACGTGCTATAAATATACAAATTATCTGTCAGACATCGCGTCGTCGATTGCAAATGTTTTAACTTCTGAAGCGTCGTGTACGAACTTAACTAGCGACATTATTATAGCGTAAGGTGCTCTTCATGACAAGGTAAATAAGAACTAGCATTTTCTTTGTGTTAAACTGTATAATTAGTTATAATATCCAACTTGCAGTTGTTGCTATAACGTATTATTATAGATGTAAATATTGTGATGACGTAAATTGTAAATAATTATGAACTGTAGAAATTCTTCAGATGAAACAATTGCACTTGTATATTTTATAATTTTCAGAATATGTGGGTGTTTCATAAAAAATAAAGTTCAATTAAAAAACAAGACTTAAATAATGTAAATAAAAACTATAAATGTGCGATGGTTAACGAATTATATGTACATCATCATTACATAACAATGTTATTTACATAGTATTAATTTGTTATCCATAGCGATGAAGATAGATTATATAAATCATAGTTAACTCTTTGGCGCGATATTTTCTTAATCACGGTTGTAATCGCCGTTGTAAAACGACGTAACATATAAAACTAACTGATACAGAAAGATCGGTTGAACTCAATTAATTACAAAGCTACTACAGCAGCGTGAATGCCGAAGGGGAACAAAAGCAACGGTGATGCGTTAAAATAATTAATCTCATAATCTGAAATGACCTTTCGCACGCTGCGAACGTGGTATACGTTCTGAAAAATGATCTGTCAAGGGAAGCACGCTTTTAATGAGCGGAATCGGTGACTTTTAAACACGTACTTCGAACAAGCTATTATGCTATCTCAACCATCGCATCGTTCGAGTTCTTTGGTTACGGAGCGGGAATCATCAGTCATTTCTTTATTTCAACGTTCGACTATCGCCCGAGGACAGGCCGATATTCATAATTTAAGAAACGCATGTTCTCTTTACAGGTCTGTGAGGCAACGCCGTGTCAACGTCGGATGAATCACGGTTCACCGTATGATTATTAGAAATTTTGTAATTGTCCTAAATTATTAGTTTGTTTGCTACGAGACGACCTCAGACGATGGATTTCGTAAACTTGCTTCTTCAGACTTTTAAGTTATGCACGATATGAATGGAATGGTATTCAAGATGAAGTGAAGAATAGTTTTAGAAATTGAAGTCAGCAAGAAGTGTAGGAAATAGAGAGGTTCTGTATAGGTTAGATTTTATTTAAATGTTATGTGAGTTAGATCTATGTAGGTTATGTTTTTACAGGTTATGTATAATATAGGTTTTGTATGAGTTCTGTATAGATTCAATTTTATATAAATTAAATTTTACATAGGCTAGGTTTTGTATGGGTTAAGTTTCTTATAGGTCAGATTTTGAATAAGTTCTATATAGGTCAAATTTTATATAAGTTAAATTTTGCAATGGCTATGTTTCATATAGGTGAAGTTTTTTATAGGTCAGATTTTGAATAAGTTCTATATAGATCAAATTTGATATAAGCTAAATTCTGCAATGGCTATGTTTTATATAGGTTAAGTTTCTTATAGGTCAAATTTTGAATAAGTTGTATATAGATCAAATTTGATATAAGTTAAATTCTGCAATGGCTATGTTTCATATAGGTTAAGTTTCTTATAGGTCAGATTTTGAATAAGTTGTATATAGATCAAATTTGATATAAGTTAAATTCTGCAATGGCTATGTTTCATATTGGTTAAGCTCCTTATAGGTCAGAGTTTAAATAAGTTCTATATAGGTCAAATTCTATATAAGTTAGATTCTGAATGGGGTATGTTTTGTATAGGTTAAGTTTCTTATAGGTCAGATCTTGAATAAGTTCTATATGGATCAAATTTTATATAAATTAGATTCTAAATAGGTTAAATTTTAAATAGATTAAGTTTCTTATAAATAAAATTTTGTGTAAGTTCAACACAGATTAAATTTTATACAAGTTATATTCTACATAGGTTATGTTTTATATATGATTTTGTATAATTTATGTTCTACATAATTTTGTATCGTATAAGATATGTTTTACATATGTTAAATTCTATATAAGCTAAGTTTTATAAACTAGACCTATTTAACTGAAATCAAGTTTAGTTTGGTTAGGTTCTATGTAGATTAAGTAAATTATACTACATAAATTAGATACCATATTAATTATGTTCAATGTAAATTTAATTTTAAACAAATTATGTTCTATATAGACTAGATTGAATTTGATTAGGATAGGTTAGGTTAGGAAAAATTAGGTTATGTTAAATTCTATATAAATCGATTGGATTACAATACATTCTACATAAGTTACATTAGATTAAGTTAGAGTTAGTTCTATATAAGTTAATTATTATGGTTAGGTTAAGTTAAGGTTAAGGTTAGGTTAGAATAGATGTAATGTACCTCACGTGCTATGTATGAAAATTTTCTTACTATCTATCTTAATTTTATCTTCTTTCTACAAGTGTAGTTTACTTAGGTTTAATATAAGTTTATGGTTCTCCTTAAGTTCTCCTTACTTTTTCCTAGATTCTACATAGGTTTTCCTAAAATATAATACTTACTACACTCTCAACTATAAAAATTCTATAATGCACCTAAATGAACAGTATACCCAGTGATTTTCGAATACCATAATGTTTCCCCCACATTCGCCATTTTCCCCAAGAAAACCTAACAAGAGTTCATAGTCCTGTTTTTTTTATCAACCTTTGCTATACACATAATTAATCATTAACAAATGCAATTTTCTTTAAAGCGAAACAATCTCTCCCTGTTTTCTACTGAAAACTTCTCTATTAACGGTGTATATTTAATTCATGTACTGCGCACGTTCGTAATAAATTACAATCCACAATTTTGACCTCTTGCGAACTTCTTACCTCGGATCTTCATTAAATCCTCAGTTCCAACAAGTTCAACACGTTCACGAAGTTTCGACACGGAGGTGTCTTGTAATCGATACCCTTCGAGCGATAACATTTCCCCTTGTTTTACTGTTAAACGTAAAGCAGAGCTGTAGCTAGCTGTATAACAATATGTCGTAAATTCTTTACGAAGGGTGCATAACATTTTTAGGTTATGTCAGCCTGCCTTTATACAAAGTCGTTCTCAATTACATATTTCTCAAATTAATCTACTAAGTGATTTGATATTTTATACATTACGTACACATTCTTTGACAGTTCCAACAAAATTAGAAATATATATTTCATATTTTATATGCAATAAGAAATTAAAAAATTCATGGAAAGCTTGTTTCCAGAATTAAAATATTAATTTTCCTGAAAATCATTGTTCATATTAATTAAATAACCACTCAATTTGCTCTTTCATTTTAATTCTTCAGTTTCGACTTTAACTCTTCCAGTTAATTTACATTAATGATTTCTATTTCTTACGAAAGAGTATTCGAAAAGTTCGCTGAATAATTTTGGCGCCAATATTCAAATTTCAAAGAAATATAAAAATGTTATACAAACGAAAATGTTATACAATATTAAAATATTTTTATGACAAATTTTCTAATTTTCCATGTATAATTTTTTGCGAAATAAATACTTGTAAACATGTAATCAACAGGTTAAATAAATTGTAAAATAGTAAACAAATCAAGAAAGGAAGAAAAGAATGGAAAGGTACGTTCGAAAATCAGAACAAGAGATATAATATTTTCGGGCAGAACGCTTTTATTTATATACAAAAATCACAAGTTAAAGTATACATATACATACTAATCGACGCTCGATACGCGTTCTCGTAGCTGCGATGGCGTCGTTTTTTCGCGTTTTACGTATTTTTGTTGTATCTGTGTGAAAGCAGCGTTTGCGCATCGGGCACGATCCTGTCGTAAACTGTTTCTTCGTTTTTTTTTTGTTTCTTAAAACAGTGCGCGTTACTTTCTTTCTATACAAGGTAGTGAAAAGACAAACAAATATCTCGAAGTATACAGTTATTATATATATACCCGGCTGGCTCGCGCCTTATTTTTGTTTTTCTGTTATGCGTAATGTAATCCTAGATTAATATACCACACTATATTTATTTTTATAATCCGCATCGGAGGCTCAAGGTCGTTTCTATCCATGGCAAGCTGGCTCGGAATCAGGTCACGTTTGAGGTATAGTTAGACTGATTAACCTGAAACAGTACCAACAATCTCCATCAGAAATACAAATTTTCCACACGTTCGATTGTTCTTGAGGCATATTTAATTCCTCGAACTATTAATGACGCTAACATTCAATATTACTGAAGTTAATCTTTAATTCAACCTAACCTCGACTGAAGCATGTACATTAATATACATATGTATAAATATGTCAATATATAGTGTGTCACAAAATGGCCATGACATCTGTGATCTACTGCATCAATGTAAAAATGTAACATTGTTTCTTACTATATGTAAAAGTGTAATATCTATACTACATAAAGTGTACTATATATAAGTGTAATTTCTCATAATATGTAAAATTGTAACATTGCTTCTCGCAATATGTAAAAAATGTAATATTTCCTATTGTTGCTCACAAACAATTTGTGACCGAATACTCATTTGAACTGCATACCAAAGCGTGAATGAACTAAAATCCCATTTGGCAAGTATAAATCAAGGAAAGATGATCAATGTAGCAAACAGAGAAACGAGTGATTAAACTGTCGTGGTACATCGCGTTAAAGTGTCGTCAGTAGATAACGAAGAAGGACGAACCTCGGCCAGGTGGTCGTGGTTGACCACCATCGTCTTCCTCAGGGTGAGCCGCGTTCCATTCGAGCGCCCTTTGGATCTCTGGCGGTATCGGTGGTGCCGTGGGGATGTGAGAGCCTTGTACTTGGAAGCCATTTTCGTCAGCCACATACGTGATACTAACTTGTTGACCATCCGGTGCCGTGTAAGAGTCGGAGCCCTGCGAGACCACTGGTGTCTCGTTGTCTATGTTCTTAGGCTCGCCCGACTCCACGTGAGATATTCCGTTGCTGGTCTCGAAGCTGTGCAAAAACAAGAACCGAGTATCATTTATACAATTCACAATTTTCCACGTACAATGTTTTTCCTACAAGAGAGTACGTTTTTGTCGGAAAATATAGGGGAATCTTGTAATTTTAAAGTATGACCTCTGCATTCATCTTCTATATCTATTTTTCCCTGTGAGAAAGTACCACGTAGTCCCTAGAGTTTCCACTGATTGAAGCAGTAGCAATCACTTCTATTTACGCGGCACAAAGGCTCGAGTGGGCGATAATAAACCGCGTAAACAAATCACTGTCATTTCATTCGAATGACTGTCCATTGTCTTCGGTCTCTTCTATCATCGCGTCGGTAACAAATAACACTCTCGCGACTCGTTACACGACAAAATATTTGCCAAACATTTCGACTCGCTGTTTACTTTTCTTCGCGCTAATTAATTACAGCCAACGTGAACTAACTACATACGCGGCTACATCCACTGTAAACGCAAACAGAAAACGTTTCCGCGGCAACTTCGTGTCAATTTTAATTATAGAACCCCGTAGAACCTTGATAGTTGCACGAAAACAGGGCCGCGAACGCGTGCGAGCATCGAGGTTCGTGTAATTAACGAGGTAACTAATTAGGTATACGAGATCTCCCACTTATAATGCGTTCCCTGTTGCGCGTTCCCAGGTGCAAGGTGCGCCTTTGGAGAAGAAACTTCCATTTACATTTTGTTTTGGGGAAACCTAGGGTTAGCTATAAAGAACCTGAGTAAATTCAGAGCTTCATATCTTTTGAGAGAATTCTGAATTAATTTGAAAGGGGAGATCTAGCGAGGTCCTTATTTTGTCTTCAGTTTGGAGGAATCTAGGGAAAGATGAGTGATGGGTTCAGAGGAGAGTACGATGGAATTGGGAAGAGTTAGAAAAGGTTAAAGAGTTATCACTTAATTTTGAAGAATTTAGAGAGAATTCAAGAATTAAGGAAAATGTAGGGAGAGCCTGTGAAGCAACTAGGGAGAGTTAGGGAGAGACTTAGTTTGAAAAGTATCTACTATTTTATCTCTAAATTTTGAAGAATCTAAAGGGCATTGAAGAGGTGAAGGAAGGAAAGTTCAGAAAGCGCCTGTGAAACAACTAGGGAGAGCCAAAGTTAGCTTACAGAGAGTATCCACTATTTCATCACCAAATTCTGAAAAATTTATGGAAACTATGGAAATTTATGGTATCTATGAAACTATGGTAAGTCATGTAAAATCTAAGTTGCAATAAAAATTTGTTTGTAATAGAGCTATTTCAAATTTATTGAATTAGAACTTGTATTTGTCTTCTTTATAAGTTTCATAGATTGTCATATAGTGTAAGTACGAAGGATGTGTGCATAGGAGATGTAATATGTTTGTATGTAGATAGTACAGTTTCTGATAATGATGTTCGAAACTTACTTATTGACATAATGGCCATCGAAGCCGACTTCGAGCTGTTGAGATGTGATCACCGCATCTTTGTCAGAACCACTGGGAGGTCTTTGAGGGGCTGCTAACGTTCCCGTCGTACAAAGTACGACCGCCACTAACGCCTGAAACAATTGTTTTTTGTATCAGAACTGTATTATAGTAATCTGAAATGTGTACATGATAAACAAAATAGCGAATAAAAAGTTACAGCAGTAATGGAAAAAAATTCGCATCAGCGAGCTAAAAATGTGATATTTCTAAAAGTAATTATTAAGATTATTTTAATTAAGTATTATATTACTGTTTACGATCAATAAGAAGTAGAAGTTCTTTAGCTGAAATTGCTTCTGAATATTTGGTACATTGTTTATAACTCATCTATGTAATAATATTTTTCTTAACGAAAGCGTCAATATACAATTGAATTAAAGTCAACTTCAAACCTCTGATTAAACTTGAATGCATCCTACGCTTCTTTGTTGTCGTTTTAACTATCAGCTATAACAATATTAATGTTTAATAAAATTCATAATGTAGAGATTTCACTCTAAGTATCCTAAGTTCCATACTGGTGTTAACCTCAAACTGTAGTATTATTCATGTCAGTTAAACTTGAATGAAATTCTATGCTTCAAATTTGCTATCACCTTATCAGCTGTATTATCATTAATGTTCAGTAAAGAAGATTTGTATTATAAAAGTCTGACTAAGAATCCAAACCCCACTAAGATCAATCTCAAACAACAGAATATAGCCTAACCTAAAATATGGAATCCTTTGTTCGAAAATTGCGACCATCTTAGCTATCAGCTACCACCATCATTCGATTTAAAAAAGCTCGTAACATATATATTCGGCCGTACAATTATCCCAAGCCCCATTAAGCTAAGGTTATCCTGAAATTCGTGCGGTGTCTTCTAATTAACCTTAACCGAAAGGAGAATTTTAAAGTTGCATCGTTTCGTGACTAAAAAGATAGGTATCTTCTGGGAAATTCATGGACCATAAAAAAACGCCGATCCCTAACACCGTTCGCAGAACCTTTCGTTCAAATATTCATAGAATTCGTGAAAGTAATGTCTCGCGATGGCGTGGCTCTGTGTCGTAGCCGGTTGCAAAGGGCAAGCGAAGATGATAATGCCTAGCAACTGCACGACTCGGTTACGTCAGTTGCAAATGACATTATGAAATACAACGTAATGGCAGGACGAAAGTGGCCGTTTTCCTCGCGCGACCGTGGAACGTGTAATTTCATTCAAGAACCTCATCAGCCGTGAATCTGCCACCAAAACAAAAAACAGGTTCGGTGCTCAAATGTCGACTTGCTCTTATCAGTTGCTGACTCTTTTTTAGGTGAAGAGTTGCGGGTCAAAATTATTCGATGATGACGAACTTGATATACCAAGGTCGTCAATCAAAAATGTAATTGTGAAACTGAATGTTGAAATGCTGGATCAAATATAGATGTTCTGTTTAGTCTGAACTATGGAGGGTTTTACGACCTTGTTATAGTATAGCGGAGACTGTATCGTTTTGGATCTACTGGCGGTTTATATTCGAGAACTACTGTAACTTGATCATTGCTGCATATTTATGTTACAATTGTATTAATATTTGTTATGTACTCTTTCGCTGAATTGAGAACGTGTTCAATATTACATTTTAGAATTTGATGTTTTGTCAGTCAAATGAATAATAAACAAGTGCAAGTTTAATAAGAAATAATAAACAGATTTAATAATAAATAATAAACAAATTTAATAGTATGAGTTTGAATATAAAAAAATAAAATTTTAGTAGAAATTTTGTACTATTAAATTGCTTATAATATTTATAATGATATCAAGTGAATTCCATATACTTTACATAAGAGTAAAGTTAGGTTAGGTGTTTAGTAAGTTCCCACAAGAAATTTAATTTACTGAAACAAGTAGTTACTAAAATTTACCTGAGACGCTTAATTTACCAAAAATTTACCAAAAAAATATAAAAAGAACATAACATACATTAAAAAGTAAAGTAATCGCTAAATTACAAGTATAACCTCAAAATTTCCATCAGCTTTCCAAAAAACATTCTACAAATTATTAAACATTTTGTTTACAAATTAAGAAAAGTAAAGAATGCAGATTTTTCATTAATTTCCACATTAGTTTCACGCAAGCAAAAGATACAAGTGAACGTCGAAAATTGAAATTAGTACAAGATGTACACAATGGCATAACAGAGTACGTGGAAATGGTCCTTCGAGATTAGCAGAATAGATTATGAATGATATCCCTTAATCCTGAGCACAACACGTTTCTAATTACCAATCGCTAATAATGGTACAGCTTCGAATAGAACCTTATCCGGTACACGATTTCATTCAAGTAACAATGTAATCGATATTTCGATTCTCCTTGACCGTACGACCGAGCTCGAACAATCGATCGTTTCCTGTGTATCGATTTGTAATAAGGAAGACAATGAAACATATGTAGTTCATTATCACTATTGGAGTTAATAATTAATAGAATTGTTATAGAACTGTTCAAAAAATTGTTGATAGGATTAACAAATGTTGGAATGAACGGTATTAGAATGAACATTAACAGTATCAAAAAAAAATAGAACCTTCACAAAATGTTTTACTATGAAATACTTCTTTCATATTTTATACTTGTGTTTGTGTATGAAGGATTTATATAAATAATTACGCTCGTAATACAAGTATTATTTTTCTAGTTTGAATAGTTATCAAAGAAGAGAATAAAGAAGAACATTAGGTGAAACAAAAAATCCTCAATTTTCTTAATATTATTTGAAACATGCATTCAATCGCTAGTGTATTAATAATATTACGTATAAAGCATTCGTTTTACATTTTACAAAAATTTACAAGCTTCAATAATTAACGAAGGAAAGAAGAAAAATAAAAGCTTCAGAACCATTTTGCAGACTTTAGCAATGTTTATTTTTTTTACTTATCAAAGTAATTCTACTAGTAAAGAGATTTCGTTTTCGTGACAATTATATATTAAAATTATTATCGTACCATTAGTAGTAATTGAAAAGAATGAAGAAGAAAGAAGAGGCTTTCTATTGCTATTATATTAACAAAGCATTACATCTCATAATAATTACAATAGTTTTCAGCAAAGAAAAGAAAAGAAGAAAAAAGGACATTAAATGCCTCAAAAAATGTAAACTAAAATGTAATTTTACGAATGAAGCATTAATTTCTTAAATTGCAATTGTTATCAAAACTTTGGTCATCAAAGAAGAAAAGAAAAAGAAGAGTTTAAAAGTTCAAATAATGAATTGATGTTCTAATATTGGACACTAGTAATACTTATGAGGTACTTATGTTAATATTAATATATCACAAAGATTATAAATAAATGCTTAAGCAGTAATCAAAGAGAAGAAGAGAGAAGAAAATTAAAACCCTCAGAGTGCAAACCATTGTTACAGTTTTTCCTTAAAATCCAATAGTATTTGCGGCATGTTTTCTATTGCTATTCCACTAGTGATTTTACTAATGAAGCACTTGTTTCAGGCTTTATAACAATCATATATCGTAAAAATTAGTATGAAAGCTTTAACAATTATGAAAAAGTAGAAAGAAGAAAACTGGATTCCTCAAGGAATGTTTACGATGTTCTAAAACTTCCTACACCATTTAAAACACGTTCTATTATTAAATAATTCAATTAGTGAGAGACTTGAGGCTAATTCAATTAGTGTCTCACTAAAGAATTTCATCTTCAAAATATTTGCATATCAAAACTCATCAAAACAAGTCAACTCAAAGCAAGATCGTACAGTTCTTAAATTAACAAGCTTTCCCTCGGTAAATCCCGAAAAATTGTATAAACGCACAAACACTGTAAACGAGCGGTCCAGCAAGTCCGAATAATAGGAAGCTGGTGAAACTTTCTGAAGATGCGTCATCGCGGAATGTCCAACAGAAAACGAATCTGTATCTGAAATGCTAATTAATTCTGGACCTGTCATTACGCAGGTTGTCCGAGAAAATGACAAAGAGCGGAAAATTTCACAAGCCTGAAGCAGAATGAAAGAAGAATTACCGGCGGTGGTAATGATGCCGCGTCCACCGACTTCTTCGCCGTGTAACGTGTAATAAAACGGATTATGAAAGAACCAGAGGCTTCTTTCCGTTCATAAGGTCAAACGATCACGAAAAAGATGCGATGTATCCGATAGATTCGTTGATTGTCAATTTCGTTCCTCGTCCCATGTTCGAACCATCGATATTGGTATCTGCCTTGAAATCGAAAACCATTTCTAGCCAGGAACTCTATCGTGATTCTGATTTTTTTTCCTGTCTAGTGTGTTTTCGATAGCTCAATGGTGTGTCAGTGTTTTTCTGTATGCTTTCTGTACTCGAATGTTGCACATGGTGGGCTTTTCACGCTCGGAATACAGGAGATTTGATACGATGCTCACTTGTTTGTAAAATCCCTTTGGGAAATATAGTAATAGCGGTTGTAAATTTATTCGAGGGAAATACCACTCGGTATGTGCAAAATAAAGAGATGTATCTTTACGTTAAATATAATACAAATTGTGAAATTAAGTTTAAAGTTTATTTACAAAGTTAGTAAGGTTGTAACATACAGTTAAGAAAATTTTTAGTATCCACTCTTTCAAGATTTCAATTTGTAATTCTTTTCAAATTTATACATTTATAAATTTCTTGTTTTATAAAATTTAGTTCTAATGTTGCTCAAATATTTTCCTATTTGTTAGAACAATTTTTGCCAATTCACTTTTTAGAATATTTCGAAATTTCACTATTTAGAATATTTCTAAATAAATCAATATTTGCAAATAAATCTCTTTTACAATATTATTAAATTTTACTATTTATTTCTGAATATAGAATGTTTCTAAATTTTCCTTCTGTTTGCATCACTTTCCGCAATACAAAGTACTTCCAGCGATAAATGTTAATCATTTTTAATCTAACGTTCGATAATTTAGTGTGTCAGATGACAGACGCGGTTTGAGTCATCGTTGTCTCCGTAATCATCGAAGGAAAGATTAAAATCGATTAAGCTGACTTTGAAATTACACACGCGTTGTTTTCCTATTACAACAGCCACAAGCAATCATTCATAACCTTACTAACGCGGAAGGATGATTTCACGCCATCTGGACAGGTGAAGAATTGACCACGAAGTTAAATAATAAACTGTTCGATAACTCCTCGAATCTAATTTTAGCTTGTCAGCAAACAGCATTTAGTAACCTCAATTTTAGAAATCCTCGACTCATCATGAAAAGAAATTGTATCAAAGATTAAATCAATAAACGACAACATAAGAATAATAGAAGAATTTTCTGAAGAAAAAATATTTACTGCCAAATAAAACAAAATCGTGATATAACTGAATATAATAAAATTTCGAAAGAACGATGTTCGTGAACTACAGAGAATGCTTGATTTAGGTTGAATGAAAAATATAGCAGATGTATAACGTTAAATTTAGAAGTTCTTCGTTCCCAAAGGGTTAACAGTCTGTTCTCCAAAGCGAGTTTCATTTGTCATAGTCAAACATTGTAACCGAGTAAACCAGGCGTGAAAAATGTCACAATTGGAATCCGCGATGACGTGTGCGAACAGAAAAGTATTCGGGATCCTCATCGGTGTCACGCTTCATTCTATCGCAATTGTTCTAGCTTGAAGAAAAAGGTGTCGACACGAGTGTATTATGACACAATCCAGTACGTCGTTTGTAATTGTTATGATAATTCTATTCTTAATTTCAAGCCCGTCCCGTGTTCGAATTCCGAGTATTTTGATTGTATGCAGTTCATGAATCGTTAACGAGCAACGCCCCCATTTTAATTCCTTCGTAAAGAATTTTGTGGAATGATCGGATCATTCTAATACTTTGTCATCTTTGCATTCATTACAGAAATATAAAAGAAACTGTATGTTCCATAAAAGAATATTTGTAAGAAAAATATGGTATGTTTAGTAAAGAATATACACTGTTTACAGGAAAATATTGAAGCTCTGTAAATTATTTAAAAATTGAAACACTGTTGAGTAACGTTAAATTATACAATTTTAAAATGTTCTGAATATTCACTTGGAAATGTAAAACTTCTGAATTAAATTTTCATTTGTTTGAAAAAGTTTGAACTATGTTTTAAAGTGTTTTAGATTATGTAAAAACTGTATTCAGTATTTTGAAATAATTATAGAAACTTTTAAAATTACAGAATGGGACATGTCTTTAATGGCAATATTCTTTGGCGTTTTAACCTAACCAAATAAACGTTTCGAATCCATCAGAGAATTCTAATAATATATTTTAAAAACGTCTCATAATATTTACCATATCACTTACGTACAAAAATTGACAAAGAAAAATTCTAACAATATTGAATATATAATTCAGAAAATTCTAGTAATATATTTTAAG